TTTTTTTTTTTGTTTTTTGAGACAAGGTCTCACTATAAAATCCCTTGGAGATCCTTTACCTGAGCCACCTGGGTGCTAGGATTCCAGGTATGTGCCATGCCCCAGCTAGGAGCCTTTCCCTCCTCTCCTCTCTATCTTACCTCCTCCAACGTGTTTCTCACCCAGGTCTGTTGGCAGCTCTCTCACTGTCTCTGCTGTACTGTGTAGGGTTTCATACTTCCTTTGTTGCAGTGGTTCTCAGTGTGTTGTCCCCAGACTGGCATGGCAGAAAGTTGTTAGAAATGCACACTGTCAACTTTGCTGGATTAGAGACCATGGGGTCTGTGTTCTAAGAAGCCTGAAGGTAACCTCCTGAAGGCTGGGGAGAAGCTGGTGAGAACACTGGGCTACATCTTTCCCTATTCTCCAGCCCATCCAAACTGCAGGATCTGCATTGCTAAGTACTTTGGGGCAGTATTGCACTAAATCCTCACAGCAATCCCTAAGGCCAGCATGGTGACTTCCCTACACTTGTACATGCAGAGGCTGAGAATGTACAGCTTAAGGTCCCTGCCCAGGAGCAGAGCAAGCCCTCAGCCTGGCATGTTCAACCCAGCACATTTCCCTTTCTGTTGAAGTATGTTTTAGCACATGCCTTCATGACCTATGAGGTTGGTGGCTAGAACTATTTATAGTTATATAATATAGAGGAAAGACTATGTTTTTAATTCCCAAAACCAAAAAATATTTTTTTTCCAGTATTGGAGATTGAGCCTGCGGCCTTGCCCACTGAGCTATATACTTACCCCTTTTAAAAAAAAAGTGTTATTGGGCTGGGGATTTGGCTCAGTGGTTCTGCAGCCTGCCTTGCAAGCATAAGGTCCTGAGTTCGATCCCTGGTACCACACACACACAAAAAAAGTGTTGTGTTTTGAGACAGAATCTCATTAAGTTGCTAAGTTGCCTAGGCTGAGCTTGAACTTGCAATCCTGTCTCACCTCCCCAGAGTGCTGAGGTTACAGAGGTGCATACCACACCTCACCCCAAAGCAAAATAATTTAAAAGAATGACAATATCATATGTAACTTGCACTAACTCTTTGTACATAACAATAGAAGGATATGCAGCAGTAACTCAAAGAATAAAGTAGTTTGTGTGAAGTTTAAAGTGCCCACTAGTTTCTAAAGTAGAGGGGTTTACATAATGTGCTTAGGGGTTGAAGAGGTCCAGGTTTCCTGTGCATCCAGTCAAGTTACTCACCCCTGTGACCCTCAGAGTCCTCACTGTGAAATGGAGATAAGGATGCTGCAGCACCCAGAGGGTTGGAGATGAAGTCAATTCATGTGGAGCCTGACACAGAGCCCAGCACATCTTCAGTGGCAAATATTGGCTCTGTTATTAGCAATCCTGTTGGATCTTAAGAAAAGAGGAGGAGGTATTTGGTACAGGTGCAAAGCCCCTATGATGAATGTTATCATTATGTATGTCTAAAATGTACCAATAAATGTTTGCTATTTAAAAAAAAAAAGTCCAGAACAATTCAATGAACTTCTTCCTTACCTTATAGTTTTAAGTGAAATGGGATAATGACAGACAGGCTTAAGTCTGCCAGGTGCAGTGGCGTACCCTGTAAACCCAGCTTCTTGGGAGGCTAAGACAGGAGGATCACAAGTTTTAGGTCAGCCCTGGCAACTTAGCAAGAACTTCTCTCAAAATAAAATTGAAAAGAAGCTCGGGATATAGTTCAGTGGTAGAACATTTGCTTAGGATGTGTGAGGCCCTGGGTTCAATCTCTGGTACTGCCAAAAAGGGTACTTCAGGCCTTCATACAGAGTATTTTAATATTAGAGTTTGAGATGAGCAGTATCTCATCCTTCTATTTTCCTTCTCACGGCAGACTGATTTCCGATTCTATTGGATGCATTCAAAGTTACCAGAAGAGGAAGGACTGGGAGAGAAAACCAAGCTCAATCCTGTAAGGCCTGGTATTAGGATCACAGAGTTCTTTATAGTGTTTGATTTGGACTGGTCTGTTACCTACATAGAATCACTGTGAATCTTTTTTGAGTCACAGTGGTGTAGTGGGAAGAGTATGGGTGTAACAGCTGGATCCTGTTGGATCGTAAGAAAAATATCTGGAGCAAGTTGAATTCTATGTGTGGCTTTAACCATTTACCAGTCCAAGTTTTTAAATATAGGATGACCAAAAATTGCTTTTTTTCCCCCACTTATTTTTATAGGATAATATAACAGGAAATATAAAAACAACAATTTTATCAAATTTATTTAATACAAGAATTGACTGGTGGGCTGGGAATTTGACTCAGCTGGGGATTTGGTTCTGCAGCCTGCCTTGCAAGCACAATGGCCCGAGTTCGATCCCCAGTACCACAAAAACAAAAACAAAACAAGAATTGACTAGTTGAAATGACATGTGCCTGAGTGGTGCTCAGGATAGTCAGTACATAAACATGTTGCTAGAGTGATGCTTGGAATAAACTGTTAAGTGGCCTGTTATTAATGACCAGGTTGAAAGCTGGGGTGTACTTCAGTGTTAAAGAACTTGGTTAGCATGCATAGGCCCTGGGTTTGATCCCCAGCACTACAAAGACATTTTTTTGTTGTTTTGTTTGGGTTTTTTTTTTTGAGACAGGGCCTCACTATGCAGTCCAGATTGGCCTTGAACTTGTTATGTACCTCAGGCTGGCCTTGAACTTGGGGTGTTTCTCTCGCCTCAGCCCATGCACTACCACGCCTGGCTACAAAAATTTTTTTAAATTCATTTTTCAAATAATTAATAATCATAAGGGGAGGGAGCTTAAGGGGAGAAGGGAATGGAAAAAAAGGGGCAGGATGTGCCATGTACAGGTACAAATTCCCTACAACAGGGACTAGGGATTTAGCTCAGTGGTTCCGCTGCCTGCCTCGCAAGCACAAGGACCTGAGTTCAATCCCAATCCGCTACCAAAACAAAACAAAACATTAAAATGTGTAATGCCCCTCCTTGCTTATTCTTTGGGGCTGGGGATTTAGCTCAGTGATTCTGCCACCTGCCCAAGTGCAAAGACCGGAGTTCGATCCCCGGTACCCAAAAAAAAAAAAAAAAAACCCCAAACAAACCAAATTCTCTATAACGAGTGTTATCGTTATGTATGCCTAAAATGTACCAATAAATGTTTTGCTATTATAAAAACAGCAATTGTTGATAATATTTCTTTAGCCACCTACACGTGTATGTAGCTGTGAAGACAGGCACCTAGTAAGAGACATGTATATTTCTTATTTAGTTACTGATCTTGGGTTTGTGTTATTTTATTAAATAATTTAATAAGTTAAAATATAAAAAGTGGCCTTGTATAAAAAAATAATAGTAAGTTAAGTTAATAGCCTCACTTGCCCTTAATTTCTTCATCTGCAAAATAGAGTTTCTATCCTCTTACTTGCAGAGCTGTTGTAAGAATCAAATGATAAAAGTATTCAGGTCCTTCTAACATAATACTTAAGATGGACATGTACTAAATGATCGTTGATAGAAAATGCTATCACAGTGATTGATTGATTGATTGATTTGGGGGCTGGGGATCAAATCCAAGGCCTCACTCATGCTAGGTAAGTGCTCTACCACTGACCTAGATCCTTTACACTAAGTTACAGCCTCAGCTTCTTTTTCTTTTATTTTTCTTTTGAGGCAGAGCATTGCTCAGTTACCCTTATTGGGGGTGAATATGTAAGTTTCCTGCCTGAGCCTCCTGGAGTGCTGGGATTCCAGGCATGTGTCATCCTCCCAGCTGAAGAGTCTGGTTTCTAGTAACGTCCCCATAGTGCTAATGCTGCTGGTCCACTGGCCGCAGCCTGAGAAACGCTGCTGTTGTGTCTGAGCCTCACCTCATTCATCTTCCATTTCACAGAGCAGAACAGGGTTCTCCAGAGGCCTAATGGCCCAATTTGAGAGCCCAAAGATCTTGGCCATCCAACCAATGACTTCAGAATGTGTCGGGGTGTGGTGGAGATCAGGCCACATATCTTCAGTCGTAGCTTCTTGAGAAGCCAAGACAGGAAGTCACCTGAGCTCAGGAGTTTGAGACCAGCCTGGGCAACATAGGAGACAAAAAATAAAAATATGCCATGTATATGTGGGATGATATGCAGTGCCGAGAGGCATGTGCTCTACCACTAAGCCACCTCCCCAGCTATTGTTTTATAATATTGTTTTGAGACAAAATCTTACAAAGTTGTCTAGGCTGGTCTGCAACTTCTGATTCTCCTGCCTCAGCCTCATAAGTAGCTGGAATTACAGGTGTGTGCATGTACCTCTGTGCCCAACCACCAATAAGTTTGGTTTTGGTTTTTTTTGTTTGTTTGTTTTTTCCTTTTTTATGTGGTACTGTGGAGAAAGTACAGGGCTTTGAACATACCAGGCAAGCACACACTGAGCCACATCCCCAGCCCAGCATCAGGAATTCTTTTTTTGTGTGGTTTTTGAGACAGGGTCTCCTTATGTAATCCAGGCTGGCTTCAAACTCGAGGCAATCCTCCTGCCTCATCCTCCTGAGTGCTGGGATTACAAGTGTGTGCCACTATGCCTGGTTTAGCATCAGGGATTCTTAAAAACTCCCAGATGATTCTCCTACCCCCAGGCAATCTTTGTGTATAAAGGAAGATCTAGAAACACTGAGCAGTCTTAAGGGCAGGGGGGGATGGAAAGGAGAGAGAAGGATAAAACTGAAAATGTGAGTAGAGATTTTTAGTTGCTAGAACCAATATCATATGTAACATGTACTAACTCATCATTCTCATTTATATTTCAGTTTAAATTTGTGGGGCTAAAGAATTTCCCATGTACCCCTGAGAGCCTGTGCAAGGTGCTGGCTATGGATTTCCCTTTTGAGGTAATGGAACCAACCTCTCTGTTGCTTTGATGTGACTATAGGGCACAGGGAGGCTCAGGTTTTTGTTTTGTTTTGTTTTTTGGAGGGTATGGTATTGAACTTGGGACCTTGATCTTGCAAGGCAGGTGGCAGCGCCATTGAGCTAAGTCCCCAGCCGAGGTACACAGGTTTTTGGATTTTTTGTTTTAGTTACACAGGTTTTAGGACATCTTCCAGTTTGCTGTGTCAGAGCAGAGCTGGAGGCTGACTCGGTGGATGGACAGAATGTGCCTGCAGCCCTCCAGCCTGTGGCTAAGTTAAATGCCAGAGCTCTGGGAAGGAAACTGAGGCCCAGAGAGGAAGAAGGACCTCCAACCCTGGGTCCTTCTTGTGTGTCTTCCTTCCACAAGTACGAGAACAGCTATCTCTTGTTGGCCACCATGCTGATTATGAAACAGGGGCATCTTTCTCTGCCACAAATGTTTGGACCTGATCTTCTCCTGGCCAAAGCACAAGTCTCCAGGATTCAGTTCTCCTGAACAGTGGTTTGCCCAGACTTGCTCCATCTTAGCACCAACAGCCTCCTATCCCCAGAAGGCCTCAGGCCTAGGCAGTCTTTTGTCATCTTCAGAACCTGCAGTGTCCCTCAGCCAGCAGATTCCCTGCCCAGCACCCCCTTACAGTTCTGTCTAGTCACCCACACAGAATTGCTTGGATGGATCTAATTTTATAAAGGATACAGCTTCCTGAATGCGGAAACGGCAAAGGCTGAGTTGCCTTCATTTCTGGGAGTCAATTAGGAAGGTGGTGAGAACAGTGTCTTTATTTATAACCCTTATACCCCAGTGGCAAGAAATGCTTTTTAGAGATGAGTCACTGAATCACAGAAAAGACAATGTGGGGCTGTAGGAGGTCTTCCCGTTGAGAAAAGCTGAATTTCCCAGAATGTGGCTCACAAACACTTTAGGGGGAGGCATAGGCAGCCAGGAGTGGCAGGGAAGCAGGAATCTGGCATCCTGTGTTCTCTGCTTGTAGCCTGGCACCTTTGAGGTCCTGTCCTTTCGGTGCAGGAGGCTCAGCCACTGTGCCAGACTTTTGAATGGTGGACAGTAACTGGAATCTGGGGATGGAAGACCTGGACTCAAGCTAGATTTCCACTTCATACTCCTGTGTTTTTAGAGGACCCCCCTGGAGTCCCCTGAGCCTGGGCAGCTCTTCTCAAGACCCTCCTTGTGGGTCTGGGGATTTACCTCAGTGGCTCCACCGGCTGCCTCACAAGCCCAAGGACCTGAGTTCGATCCCCAGTACCCGCCCCAAAAAAGAAAGTAATGGGCCAAGGATTTAGCTCAGTGGTGCCGCTGCCTGCCTTGCAAGCGCAGGGACCAGAGTTCGATCCTCGGTACCAAAAAATAAACAAAAACAATAAAGTAGTATTTGGGTTTTTGTTTTCTAAAATTTAGTTTTCTAGGCCATTTCTTCATTTAGAGAAATTGCATGTGTGGAAAGCAAGGACTCCTAAAACATAAGGACTCCCTCTGTGTGACTCCAGCAGCCATGGTGACTCTGTTTGCCTCTCACAGGTAGATGGACTGCTCTTCTACCACAAGCAGACCCACTACAGCCCTGGAAGTACACCCTTGGTGGGCTGGCTGCGCCCCTATATGGTATCAGATGTCCTGGGCATGGATGTGCCTGCAGGTCCACTGACCACCAAGCCGGAGTATGCAGGGCACCAGCTGCAACAAATCATTGAGCACAAGAGAAGCCAGAAGGACGCAAGGGAGAAGCTCACACACGAGGCGTGCGAGAGCGGCTGTTATGAGTTAGAACACCTGTCCACTCCTATGCTACAGCACCCTTCCCAGGACCCTGGCCAGCTTGGGGGCTTCATGGAGACCTAGAAAGGGCAGCCTGCTTAGGAGCTAGGGACAGGGGCACCGGGGAGGACAGTCACAACAGGTGACTTGGTTTTACTGCAGTAGAAACTTTCTTATCTAAAATGCTGACTCAGGCAGCTGGAAAGGTGCTGAATATTCACATGGATTTGAACAGCTCCTACTGTGGTAAGTGTATCTCAGATCTGCACTGTAAACATGTAATTAGAAGTTGTTAGCTAGGCATTGGTGGTATACACCTTGGAATCCTAGCACTCAGGAGGGTGAGGCAGGAGGATCACCACGAATTCAAGGCCACCCTGGACTACATGGTGAAACCCTGTCCCCCAAAATAAACAACAACAAAAAAGGAAAAAAAAAAATAGGAAGAAGTGGTTTGCGATCTTTAGGGTGCAGACAGCTGTGGATCCCCATGTGCCTCCACTCCTGAGGCCGCCTAAACACTGGCTGTCTAGTCTTGGCCCATTTCATCTCTTAGCACCAAGATGTTCTGCGGCGCGTCCAGGTGCTGGTGTAGGCAGCACCATGTTTTTGAAAAGTCTTATTAGGAAATGCAGTTCTCGGTATTGGAGTGTGTGATTTTCTTTGGTTTAGACATGGCCAGAGGTAAAATGCTACTGGGACTTGTCCACAGATGTCTGATCTCCCACCAGCGATAAACCTCAATCGAGGGCCCTGAAATGTAGAGCAGATTTTGGGGGTAGACAGGACTCGGTCCCTGACTTGAGGGGAGCACAGTTCAGTGAGAAATGGACACAGCAGGGTGTGGGTTATATCACAGTGGAGAAATGAGTGCCCAATGCAAAAGGGTGCAGAGAGCATCAATCAGGGATGCAAAGAGGCAGGGGGAGGGTGTTCATGGGAAGGGAACAAGCTGAGGCTCTGCGGAGGGTCCTGTGTGAAGGGACCAGGAAGGACAGAGTGGCACAGACAGGCAGTGCTGCTGCACCTCCTGAGCAGGACAGGCCTGGCCTTGGATACTGAAACACGTTTAGCACAACCTGGGCAAGGGAGCTGGGGAGAGACAAGAAGCCTGGGATTTTGTGTCACAGGGGAAGGGGTCATGAGGAAAGAGGTCTTAGATTGTGAGCTAGAGCTCTCAGATGGCCATGCAAGTAGAAGGTGATGTCTGCAACTAACCAGTAAGGTTCTGCTGCATGTTTAAGAAATGTGTCCCAGTTCCTGTGGCCGCTGCTTTCTAGCACTTCTCTAACCAGACACAGGGGCACACAGCAGGAACAGTGTTCTGCAGACAATTTCAGAGGGCTCTGCTCAGCTCTTGTGTGACATGCAGTGTTCCTTTGAATCAATTCTCTCAGAAAACACATCCAAGCAGAAGCCATAGTCAGGCAGAGCCCAATTACCGGGATTCAGCACATCCTTTGGAACACGCCTCAGTGTCTGCTCCGAGAGCTGCTCTTGCTGACTCTGTAAAACTGGAGAAGGAAGAACCCTCACATGGTGATGATCCTGCATCCTGCTGGCTGCAGATTCAAGCATTCGCCTCCACCAGTAAGCCCCTTCCTGAATATAGGTCAATTCTGCAATAGGCACACTGTTCCTTTGCCAAGGAGATATCATAGGCAGCCTAGATGTTTGTTTAATCCCTGACTGACATCTAAATGTTCTATTCTTGGTCTTTAGCTTTATCAGTCCTGTGGCTCTGGATGCCAGTATCCATAGCAGCTTGGGCTGGCTGTGCTTGGGATGAAGTGGCCTGGAAAGACTGCTTCCCCAAATCTCCCTTTGTGCAGACAGATGTGTGCATGAGTCCTAGAACTTTTCAGCAAGATGTACCCATGAGAGCCACTTGATGCTGTGGGTCGCCAGGTAGGAAGGGCTTCCCTCAGACTAGCACCTACAATGATGTTTTTAACTGAGGAGCCAGTTTTAGTGACCTGGATAGCAGTGTGTCTCCTGGTCCTATTTCTTAGCGACTGTACAGTATTGAAGCTGGCTGGGTTAGAGGTTGCTGTGTTGGAATCGTTTTTTGGCTGCCCTCCTAAACAAACAAAAGTCAAACCTGCAGCTGAGTGTGGTGGCGCACGCCTGTAATCCCAGCACTTGGGAGGCTGAGGCAGGAATATCCTTGGGAGTTCCAGACCAGCCTGGGCTACATAGTGAGTTCCAGAGCAATCTGAACTAGATCATGAGTCCTTGTCTCACAAACAAACAGGGCCAGGGATTTAGCTCAGCGGTTCGGTGGCCTGCCTCGCAAGCGCAAGAACCCAAGTTCCATCCCGGTACTAAAAAAAACCCAAAAAAACAAAACAAACAAAAAAGAACCCTGCAGTCTAGTTCAGTTAAGGAGGAAATCACAGAATCACAGGGGAAGTGATTTTTTGAGCTGAGACCTTAAGAATGTCTGGTGTTTTAGGGTCTGTGACCTTAAGAATGTCAGATTTGTCTGGTGAAGAAGTAGGGGTGGGGAGGGTAGAATTTCTTTTTTTTTCCTTTGGCACCGGGGATCAAGCTCAGGACCTTGCCCTTGCAAGGCAGGTGCAGTGCCACTGAGCTAAATTCCTTGCCCTAGAATTTCTGGATAGAGGCCTGAAACTTATTAAAAGCAAAACAACAGCAACAGAAAAACCCAGCCAAGCCATGGTTCACGCCTGTAAGTTCTACTGTGGGAGGCTGAGGCAGGAGAATCACATGTTTGAGATCAGCCTAGGCAACTTAGTCCCTATCTCAGTAAAAGGAGGTCAGGTCAGGATGTATCTCAGTGGCATGAGACTAGCATGCTCAATAATTCCCAGTACTGAAAAAAAAATTTAAAAAATTAAAAATGTGAGCCAGGAGTTGTGGCACACACCTGTAACTCCAGCAGTCTGAAGGCTGAGGCAGGAGAATTGCTGTGAGTTTGAGGCCAGCCTGGGCTACATAGCTCAAAGCCAGCCTGAACAATAGACACTTGTCTCCAAAAAAAAAAAGTGCAAAGATCAAAAATACATACTATAGCATCCTTCTCCCAAGGTTCCCTCTTTATTTTTCACCGTCAAATTTCAGCCGTGAAGCCAAGCCAAGCATTCAGTAGCTAAAGGAGACCAGATCAGAGCGTGCAAAGCTGTCTTATTTCATCTGTTCCCATATAAAATGGGTATCATCATCCACCTGCCTCATTTTATCCTGGTGAGGTTAGATGAACAAGTTATTTAGAGCAATGGGGAATTGGACTGGACAAACACAACACATACAGTGTCCTCCCTTTTATGGGGGATTTTGGGGATTGAACCCAGGGTCTTTTGCATGCTTGACATGCACTCTACTAGGTTATATTCTCCCATCTATTTTTTTTTAACTTGGCTTAGGTATTTAAATTTATGTATTTACTTATTTATTTGTTACCAGGGATCAACCTTGGGACCTTGTGCTTGCAAAGCAGGCGGTGGAACCACTGAGCTAAATCCCCAGCCCCACTCTCCCATCTCTTTTAAATGTTTAATTTTTATTATTTTTGAGAGAGAGGACGTTCAGACAGGGTCTCTCATTGTGTCATCCAGACTGGTCTCAAACTCTTTATTTTTTTTCTTTTTATTATTTATTTATTTATTTATTTGTGTATGTATTTATGTTTGGCCTAACTCTTGATCCTCCTGCCTCAGCTTCCTGAGAGCTGGGTTTATAGGTGTGCACCGCCATACCTGGCCTCAAGACACAAACTTTAGCTCTCTCCATTGGATGTATATGCAGTAGTTTGTTCGCTGAGCGGTGGTCCTTACATTGCTTCTATCACTTGCCGTCGCAGACCACTGTGCATCCTGTAGGCGCTGACTGAGTAGTGTGGCCCCGCCCAGCTGGGTCTCTGAGTCCCTGGTAAAGGTGGGCGGGTGAAGTTGCCTCTGGACTTCAGGCCTCCTGAGAGTCAGCTCTCAGAGCTAGCCAGCAGCCAGCACTCCCTTTGTTATGCACATCACAAGCATGGTCCTGTTGGGACTGTGGTGGCCTGGATTCTGGAGAGCTCTGCCCTACACAGCTTCTCGCCCCCGCACAGCTGTGCCTCCTGAAACACTGCTGCGGGCTCTCAGCTCATTTAACCTCTTTATTACTTTTCTTCGTGCAGTCCCTGGACTGGGAGTTGGAGTACCCAGGTTCAAGTTCTATCTCAGTGTAATTTATGAGTTGTATGACCATGGATAAGTTGCTCACTCCAGTGTCCCCAAGGTCACTGAGCTAAATAAGTCTAAACGTGGCCTTGTCCTCTCCAATACTCAGCCAGTGACTTACTCTATTCAGGCCCTGCTGTTTTCCTCCATCCGAGGAAGAAAAATTATTTGTTGTTACTACCTAAACATTTTTTAAAGTTACACACACACACACACACACACACACACGCAAAATTTCAACACACTCATGGAAAAAAACTGCTCTTAGAGGAAGATAGAAGTCGCCCTTCAGGACAGCAGAGACCAGGAGGGGCATATGGTGCTTTGGCCAGTTGGGAATGTTCTGGTTTTTCACTTGTGTGATATTGCATAGGTGTGTTCAGATTATGAAAATTCATCAAGCTGTATACTTACATTTGTACTTAGTTAAAAGTACATAAAATGTACAAAAGTCCATATAGGGAAACTCACCCCCCTTTGTGAAATAAACTCTCATTAATATAGGCCCGGCTGGCCTCAAACTCATGATCCTCCTGCCTCAGCCTCCCCAGTGCTGAGATCACAGGTGTGTGTACAACACCTGACTCCCACTTCTCTCTAGATGCCTACTTCCCCTCCTGAAAGCCACTGTTACCCTCCTTGTGCATTCCTCCAAAGTTTTTACATTTACGGATATATACATGTCCCTTTTCTTCTGTATACAAAGGACAGCATATCATGTACATTGTTGCGTCTTCCCTTTTCTAGTTTCATGCTACCCCATGCCACTATTTGCACTTAGAGAGGCCGCAGCCCATTGTGCAGCTGTGGAAATACATACTACTGTCTTCACAAGAATAGTGCAGTACTGAAGTGAGCTCCTGTATGTCTGATGAGCCTAACCTAGAGCCAGCCTTATGGTGCAAAGGAGAAACTAAGTTAGCTGGGATAGAAGCCGACTCACACATGGGGGTTTGTCCTCTGTCACTGAGGACAGCCTGAAGTTGCTGTTGAAATGATGCAGAAAGTGGCCAGGGATTTGGTTCACTGACACTGCACCTGGCTCAAAAGTGCAAGGTTGTGAGTGCAATCTCTGGTACCAAAAAAATAAAAAGACAGAGCGATGTTAGGGGTTGCTTTTAAAGACCAGAGCTGGATATAGGGGTGTCTTACTTTTTTCCTGTTGCTGAATCAAAATACCTGATAACCAAAGTTAAAAACAAGAAG